TGGGGGGAACCTGACCTTGACAGGTGGCTCAGGGGCAGGAGGAGGGCAGCCACACATCCAAGCCCCTCTGCACCGAGGTCCCCCCGAGTGGGCACCTGAGAACTGGCCACTTGGGGTCCCCTCTGCTCTGCTCAGAACCCGAGCACACCCCTCAGTGCGGGGTTACACCTTGGCTATCTGTGCCGGTGGTGGGTGCACATCGGTTAGTGCCTGCTGTGTGCATGGCTCCCCCCAGCCCGACTCAGCAGGCAGCAGTCCTGTCTTTGCCCCCAGCCCCCCTCAGGTGAATTCACATCACTCACGGGCATCTTCTAATTAAAAGTGACACGGGACGGATCAGGGGCTCCGTAAGCGTCTTCTGGAGGCCACGGTGCAGAAGCCTCCCAGTGGGAAGCCCCCCCAGTGACCCCTCCCCACAGTGGCCCCACCCCTCCCCCACCTCCCGGGGCCCCCGCCCCTCCCCCACCCCCAGGGGCCCCACCCTTCCCCCACCTCCCAGGGGCCCCGCCCCCCAGCACGTGCCCCTCGATGGCCAGGTTTTTGTTGAAAGGCGTTTGTTCTATCTCAGCCCTTCTTGCTGGCAAGTCCGGAAGGCCGTGTGGACACCCCTCCCCCACCCTCCCCCTCCCCGGCCGCAGGTGTCCTGTCCAGTGACTGTCAGTGGACACACTGTTCCTTGCCATTGTCTCTCCCCTGGAGACGGGGTTCCCGTCGGGGAGGGGTTCCCTCTGCGGTTAACTTCCCAAAACCCAGTGCAGGGTGGGTCCTGCAAGATGTTTTTGCTGCGCTAAACATTTATTTTTTTGTGGGGACTTTCCTTGATTGTTTAATAACAACATGGACAAGGGGAGTTAGGCCACAGAAGCCGGGGTCTCGGTCCCGCTGGCCGCGGTGACAGGCACCTCTGACTGGGCAGCCTCAGCTACAGACACTTCTCACCGTCTGGAGGCCGGGAGTCTGAGATCCAGGGCCCGCAGATCCGTGTCCGGCGGAGGGCCGCTTCTGGGCCACAGCCGGCAGCTTCTTGCTGCGTCCTCACGTGGGGAAGGGGCGAGGGAGCTCTGTGGGATCTGTTACTAGGGCACTCACCCCGTCACCATGGCTCTACCTTGTGACCTCATCGCCTCCTGACACTGCCACCTTGGGGGTTAGGATTCAACACAGCAATTTGAGGGAACACAGACATTCCTCCCAGAGCAGCCAGGAGTCCACGTTTTCACCAAAAAGCAGAGCCTGGAGGTGACCTCGGGGGCCGAGGCACTCGCTTCAGGGATGTCTGAGTCTTGGGCCGGGAGGCACAGATGCCGGACCGGTTCGGACCAGACATGAGGAGAGTGATGAACGCAGCAGCTGGCCTCAGAGGGCATGAAGACAAAATGAAGAGGAAGTGGAGGTGTCCAGCTGGCCGGGCCACTCGTCTGTGCCTGCTTCCTCCCGGTCACACGCGCGGCCTCGCGGTGGGAGGGCGCCCGGGGCTGAGTTCACAGGGTGCTCCTCAGGCTCTGGTGCGGGCGCGGCTGGGTCCCGAGTCCCGTGCCTGCAGTTCCCGGAGCAGTCGGCTCACAGCTCGAGGCACAGACATGTGCTGACACCCTGCTGTGCGCCGAGCCAGCAACTCGGAGAGCCTCTTCCCTGGATGGATAATGGTTACGCTGCGTTAGAGCTGACCTTTCAGAGAACATTTGGGTATGTGTCCCTTTTGGAAAAAGAACCTTGACCAGAAGTCCAGCCTCCTAGTGAGACACCGTCTGGGGACCAGCACCAGCAAATGCACTTGCCAGGCGGGCTGGCTAGAGGTTCACTCCAAGAGCCTCTGCTGTGCTGTGAGGTTTTCAGATTTCAAGTCACCTGAGTCGCAGTCTGATGATGTCTCAAGTCTAAGTGGGATGTGGAAACATTGTATTTGGGGTAGAAAATTGTGTTTTGAGCTCATGTGTGAAAGGCAGATGGAAAGGAAGCCGGGTGATTGCCTCTCAGTTGAGTTGCCCCGGCTGCGAGCTGACTCAGTCTTCAGCCGGCCGGGTGGCTGCTACGCCTGGTGCGAGGGGGCCCAGATGACAGCGCCCTGCCCAGCTCAGACGCCATCATGTGTCCAGACGCATGTCCACCACCCGGCCAGCCTGGAGACCCACACAGTCAGCGTCCCCAGCTCTCCACCACAGACCCTGGACTCGGGCCTTTCTGATTAACCGGTGCTTTATTTGAAGTGGGCGTCCAGGTACTTTCTCGACTCCAAGGGCACAGGCTGTGGGCAGCTGGAGCCGGAAAGCCAAGGGGACCTGCAATGGGTAGCGTCTGCCCCTCAGTCCCGGGTCCTGCTTTCTGCCCTTTGACCCCTTATGGCAGGTTTGGGCGAACTCCCAGCCCCACACCTGTCCTTGTGCCGGGCATCATCCCCCTCTGGGACCCAGACACCTGGAGACATGGCAGATGTGAACCCCACTGGCCGTTTGTACAGCTTCTCACCCACAGAAAGCAGGTGAAAGGACCCATCCTTCAGGCTCTGGAGCTGCGGCCCAGTCTCACAGGAGAGGACGTGGGGCACGTTCACTAGACCAGAGTCACCATCCGGGGACCTGGCTCTCTGGTGACTGGTGTGTGGATGGTGGGGACCGTGTGCCGGGACCTCAGGACTCACCAAGACCACAGGGAGACCAGTCTGCGGTGGTCAGTCATCCGGGCGCCACGAGGAAACGTTTATGTTTATCAGAAGGCTGGCGTGACGACCCCCGCAAACTGCGTGCCGGGGACTCAGAGACCAGGCGGTGAGTCACGCGAGATCCAGGCCGATCCCAGGAACCCGCTGTTCCTGGTGTTCAGCTGCTTCCGTCGTAACTGAAGATGTGGTGGAGTCAGCGGCAAAGCTCCCTGCGTCTGGACAGCAGGTGGAAGCAAGGGACCCCCACAAGTTGTCTGGGAAGGACACTTGTCCCCGAGGCCAGTCACCAGTGAAAGGACAGAAGCACTTCTGAAGGAATGAGTGGCGTAGGAAGGTAAAAAGCGGAATATTGACCCGTCCCGCTGGAGGACCGTTGGGGGTGGGGCGGGGGGCCCGAGCGCCCTCCCTCTCCCGGCCACTCCGTCCACTGCAATGTGTCCTTAGTGTATGTGCTGTGACTTAATGCTAGGAGCCCTCACATAGAATTTTAGAAATAAACGCTCCACCTGGGGGGTGAGCAGCCTCACCTTCCCCTGGGAGGAGGCAGGAAGGTCTCCCTGCTGACGAGAGGTCACAGGCTGCGGTGCAGATGATGAAGCCACCGAGACCAGCCTGTTTAATCCAGACAGTCTTCATGGGGGAGGAGGCTGAGGAACTTAGCCACCCGGGCAAGGCATCCAGGCTGGGGGACAAGGCGGAGAAATGGCCCAGGGAGCACGTGCTGCCTGAGGCCAGGGGCACTGAGGTCTCAGGGACCACGAGGGTTGGCAGGTGCAGGAAACTGGTTGGGGGAGGTGTTCCCAGGAGGCTGCTCAGGAGAAACATGGGAGCTGGTGGGGCTGTCAGAGCCCCTCCCAGGAGCCATGTCTTCCCCTGGAGACTGACCAGCATCAGAGCTGCCACCGCCCAGGGCACTGAGGGCCAGTCTAGGGGTGGCACACGGATTCTGGGGCCCTGTGAACTTGGGACAAAGCTGGGAAGCTGAGCCGCTCGCTGGGTCCGTGTCCCGGGACAAGCCCTTCGACTTCTGTTTTCTCATCTGCCAAATGGGCTTAGGAGCAGTGCCTCCTGCGAGGGCCCCCGCGAGGGTTGAACTCGATGGCCTGAGAGGTGCCATGCATCGTGGAACCTCCCCGGCGTCGCTGTCTCCAACTGTAGATCCACCAGAAAGGATCACTGGGAAAAACAAACCAGTTTTCCTTTGATGAAACTATGGGAGAACAGGGCCTTCTCCACACGGAAAGCGTCTTGTGCCCCGGAAACCAGCAGCCCCGGGCGCACGGGGAGGTGCTCTGGGGGGGGCGGTCTCCGGGAGGCTGTGACCGTGGCCCCTCCCTCAGCGAGTCGAGGCCGCACCGGGCGCAGGGCCCTGTGCGTGGTGGCGGCCCGCGGCTTGCGAAGCCAGCGTTGCCGGGGAGAGGAGGAA